CTATGGCTCAGGCCTTTACCTCTTCTGGAGTGTGCATCAAACCACTGCCAGTCTGGTCAGGGGTCGAGCGCACCCATCACACTAACCTAAAGAAGCATCTTTTTATTATACTTGTTCCACTGAAAGTGCGGACTTGCAGAGTTTTTTGATAGTGTTTATTATTGAAGAACATCATATAAAATCAACAAGCTGCACTGAAACTGCCTAAGTTGGCAGCTAAAACATGCTGACAGAAGAAAGTCCTTTGTCTGGTGGAAAAAAAGTGACATGGAAATCAGGTACAACCTCCAATCAAGGTCTTGCTTTCATGTCTCGGTAGACATGATGTTTTAAACATCATCCCAGGGACCGACAAGAAACAGTCGTTGACTGTTATTCCCCAAATAAATTCACACTAGTACAATGTGATCAAGTGTATAGAAAGGAAGAAGTTAAAGATAAAAAGCTGGAGAAGACATTTTTCCTTGTTCAAGGCCCTTACTCTTTGACTTCTCTTCCTTCCTACCCCATCCCCAATCAGGTATATACCTTTACCCAACAATTACTAGACAGTAACATGTAAACCTAATTCCTCACTGAAATGTTAACTATCAGAAAAAAAAATGAGGGAGGCACAGCATGAGACTCAAGAAGATGTTCAGCTGCTGATTAGCAAACAAATGACACAACTCCAATCTTCATTTACTATTTGTTTCTAAATTTTGCAAATGTGTTGATGGGGATGGGTTCAGTGAAAATCAACCTCTTCTTTCAAGTCCAATATTTTAAAATACCAAATTTATGAATGAGATCCTTTTACATTAAATATTTTGTGATATCTAAAGCATACATATAATCCATTCTAGCAGTGCGGTTAAAGGACAGGCTGCGTCAGCCTTTTAACATTTGGTATGTGAGCATTACCTCATTCTCTTCAAGACTTCTTCTTTTTCTAATATATAAAAAAGTGGGTGTCCATGAAGAAGTGGTCTGGATAAAGAAGTTAACAGTTTGTGAAGGAAACCCCAAAAACATAACCTATGTTTTGGGGCTTTAACTTCCACATGCCGGGTGGGTTAAATATCTCATCTTTTGTAGTTCTTTCTAATTTTGTAAGCCTGTTAAGGTTTCAAAAGTTGTTTTCCTACTTCATGCAGGAAAAGAAAGATTGTTCAAGTGCACTCCCCCACTTCCAAGCAGGCCAATGCAGAGTTTATACTAGTACCAAAGCTAGAGTTTTCCAGTAAAAAAAAGTAGGAAGTGATTTAGTGTTGGCTATATAAATGCATTATTTCTGATCTGAATGCGAAATCTGTCTTGCCACCTGATCAATCTAATCCAAGCTGTTAGGGCATAACACAATCTCAGTATTGAAAATTTTTGCAGCTCTATGGAAACGTTGCCTCATTCACACTGCTGCAGAACAAATATCCGTCAACTTGGGATGATTTAACAGTGAGAAAGAACATCTATTCTAGCTCCTTTAAGTGCTGTTACCCTACTTTTTTCTTCATATTAGTTTCAGGAAATAAAATTACCTCTTCAGTAGGGGCTTTGCAAGTCATGCTTTGGTGAGCAGTCCCAGAAAGCTTAAGAAAAGTGACAAGAAAGTCACTGAAACTAGATTTTCTTAAGGTGCGCTAGATACACATAACAGCATTTAGTATGCCTGGACAGGGCTTCAGAAGTAAATTGGAAGCACAGACAATTTATAAATGAGGAACAACAGGCATATGTGAAATGTGAACAGTTTAGAGACACCTACATTTGATTTGCAATCATTCTTAAACCTATACCACCACAAAGAAATTCTCATCAGCTGGGATGCCTTTAAGAGTTTATCTATATATGAAAATAGCTACACCGTACTCTGGACCAATCGTGCTTTCTACCTGCATAAATGAACTTCACCTTTATCTTCTGTGCATTTTTGGGGCTGCTGAGATACAAGCTTATATCTGAAAAATGATACTCTGTTCTGAACTGGTGTGGTCACAGACCTGCATTGACAGTGAGTGAGTGTGAGCGGTCATGGTTATTTGGCTTTCAAGACCCTCCTTTGGTCAATGTGACTTCCACAAAAAATTTCCTCTTTTCGTCTCCATTGTCTCACAATTTGCAAATAACACAGAGAGAAGACGGATTGCTAATTAGGTTCCAAGACTAATTTTCTCACATTTTAAAGGCTAAGGTTGGATTCTGCCTAGGGAGAGAGAAACAGAGGAGAAACAGAGCAGGAAACGGTGCTGCTTCCTCCGACCCCTGCTCCCCCCAGCTCCCTCCCCATTCCCCTCTCTGCATGCCCACAGCTCGGCTCCCCATGCCGTGTCAGCCCCAGACTGGCGAAAGAGGGTGATGGGGGAAAAACGACCCTTGGAGACAGAGCCGGGGGG